CACTTACTTTTATAACATCAATATTCAAATGTTCAATTTAGGATTCCAAGGATTGAGTTAGGCGAAAAGAAAAATCGAAAAATAGGCGCATTCCGCAAACCAAAGAAAAAAATGACACAATTTGAACTCCAACCCGATACCTTGTAGCGGTCGACCCGGCGAGTGCGTGCGGCCCGTTTTTCTTACTGGGTCAGGATCAAATTGAATCGACCCGCGGGTTGACAACCTTGCTCTCAAGATAATATTTCAGAATAGAATACTACACACTCTCGATAAATGGGACACTTTTTTTTTTAACATAATCAAAACTGGACAAAATTCCCAAAACAAAGTTAAAAAACATAACTAAGCCACATGCGATAGTCAACTAATCATCGAACTTCCGATGAAAGAGTGTTTTTGGTCATTGAAAACTTTGCCCATATTGTTTCTCATAATTTCATTTACATCTAATGTTATGTTGACCATAACAAGCATGCTTACAGGAAGTGGCCAGTTAAATTATTGCACTAGACAAATAATTGTGTTAGATTAAATGGGTAAATGTTACATTTGGTCATATAGATTACAAAATTATATCATGTTTAGTCACTAGAAAAAATTAATATAAATTTTGGTCACTCAAATTACTGAAATATGTCAAATTTAGTCACTCTCCTGTTAGTTTTCGTCCAACTCCATTAACGGAGTTGAACGGAGTCTAACGGAGAGTGACTAAATGTGACATGTTTCAGTAATTCGAGTGCCATTCATAAAAAAAAAGTTATTCATAACCGGGATTAGACGCAGACTAACGAGAGAGTGACTAAATGTGACTTGTTTTAGTAATTCTAGTGACCAAAATGCAAAATTGATATTAATTTTTTCTAGTGACTAAACATATCATGATTTAGTAATATCAATGACCAAATGTGACATTTACCCGAATTAAATTATGGATCAAAAAATACAGCAAAAAAATGCTAAAACGATAATGGTAATGTAGACGAAGCAGCACAAGAAGAGTCTTTTGATTTGGATCCCATGGCAGCCAGGAACAGAGCCAAACTCTAACTGAAATCAAAACTCTGCCGAGCCAGGAGATCGAGGGAATGGTATTGTGTCTCTGATATTCTCTAATCCAGTTGCAAACTGCACCAGCCTCTCGAATCCCACCCCAAACCCGGCATGAGGAACTGCAACCATAACAGGAATGCAAAGAACCGGTTCGCAACCCATCAGAACAATCAATACCCTCTATAAGTACACTGCAATTAAGAACATCAGCAGCAGCAAACCTGAACCATAACGCCGCAAATCGAGGTACCACCAGTAGCTCTCCTTGTTGAGCTTTAACTCCTCTAAACGATCTTCTAGATATCCGAGCCGTTCTTCTCTTTGGCTTCCACCAACCAGCTCCCCGATCTGACCAATATGAAAAAAGAACCCTAAACTTCTGTAAGTAAATAACTTATAGTTCAATGTTTGAAAGAGTGCCCTTGAAGGCACAGGAAAAAGAAGGGTCCTTTTTCATCAAACATGGTGCAAGGAGAAGAAGTGGGTTTAGGGTACGTGATTAAGTAATGATTTATTACCCGAGGAACCAACAAATCCATGGCAGCAACCGTTTTTCCATCATCATTTTGACGCATATAAAATGCCTTGATCTCCTGGAACAAGTAAACAAAATTCGTGTAAACCCAAATAACGATTTTTCTTTGTTCATGAGGCAGAGGGGAAGACCTGACGAACCTTTGGGTAGTCTCTAATAATGACAGGGCATCCGCCAAATGCTTCTTCAGTTATGTATCGCTCATGCTCACTCTGCAAATCGCATCCCCATGCCACCTGCAAACCACACCAACAAACCATTCTAACTCCAATTTCATAACCGGGACTTTATCAGATTAACTCAGCGGAGGAACATAAAATGTACCGGAAATTCAAACTTCTTATTTGTTTTAAGAAGAAGTTCAACTGCATCAGTGTATGTCAACTGCACAAATTCCTTTTCAGCCACATCCTGTAGATCAAGCATAAATTTGAAGTCATATTTACAAGAAGGTTAAAAGAATATAACTTGCACTTGAGAGCTCATACTGTTAAACGATCAATGATCCCCTTCTCGATCCAAGTATTAAAAAATTCCATGTCTTCCTTGCAATTTTCAAGGATATGTCTGACCTGCCACATAATACAGAAGGCATCCATTGATTGCTCAAAGCAGGGTATATGCATTTTACATTTTCATGCCACCAATGAAGATTTGGAAAAGGGGACATACTACATACTGGAGATAGGCAGTTGCACAAGCCATGTCATCATTAAGATCCGCAAATGCAAGTTCTGGTTCAATCATCTTAATCAGAAAAAAATAGAACGAGGTTATGGGAGGCTCTTACACAAATATTAAGATTATATTAAAAAGAGATGACAAAAATGGCTTTACCCAAAACTCTGCCAGGTGTCTCGAAGTGTTGGAGTTCTCGGCACGAAATGTTGGGCCAAATGTATACACCTGGGAGAGTGTAAGAGCATACAATGAGAAACAGAGAACTGATTAAGGTGGCAAGAAGAATGGTATAATCCAGTAACAAAAACATGTTAAGAGAGAATGTACATCTGAAAGAGCAGTAGCGTATGTTTCAGCATTGAGCTGGCCAGACACTGTCAAAAATGCTGGTTTTCCAAAAAAGTCCTGAAAAAGAATGATAGTCATTACAGCGGATGCATAATAGCATTCATTGGACGAAGCTGAACTGTGGATTGAAAAAAATAAACATCTTTAGCTAGCTATTGGGCAAGTGGAGATGAGAATATTCAGGTAATGAGGCTGTACCATCAGGAACGTTTATAGAAACTCACTTGTGACCAATCAATCAGTCCATCCTTTGTCTTCGGAATGCCATCTACAGGTGAATCAGTCACTTCTTGAGAGCTTGGAATCTGTGCACGAACACAAGTTTACAACAACTATATAAACAAGCAAAATGAACAATTATAAATGATGACGTATTTGAGAAAGAGGAGCATACCAATGTAGTAACACAGAATTGTTCACCAGCTCCTTCACAATCTGAGGCTGTGATAATAGGACTTGAGACCCAAACAAACCCATTTTCTTGAAAAAATTTGTGGGTAGCATAAGCCAAAGCATTCCTCACCCTTGCAACCTAGCAAAGATCCACCATACCAAAAATCGTAAACCATCATTCCGGGACTTGGATAAGCAAAAATCAAGTGTAAAGAGGACTTTATACTCCCAACCAGAAGAAATCACAACTCGAAAGTCATTCTCACTTTGGGTGATAGTTTACAACAGTGGAGTTGAAAAACTGAGTTTCTCGATATAGTGGATCGTAGTTAAGCAGAATAAACATACCGCACTGAATGTATTTGTTCTAGGACGAAGATGTGCTTTCGTTCTCAGGAACTCTCTGGTGGCTCTTTTCTTCTGCATTGGATATGATGGATCACTCTGGCCAACCTATCAAATGAACAATGTGAGTGTATCAGTAGAAAGCAGTAGTGTATCACTAAACACGGTAAACTGATTCAGCAATCAAGTCATATAGCATACCAGAACAATCTTGTTGACCTTCAATTCCACTTTTTGCTTCGACCCCTGGCTCTCAACTATAGTTCCTTGTACACAAACTGAAGCACCGGTAACTATGGAACCAGAGTCTACCTGAGCATTAAGAAAACAACGGGGAACCAAGATTACATGTAACTGAAACCGCAGACTGCATATACCAGAGCAAAACACTGAGAAATTCCGATCAAACCGTGGTTACTAGCTTGAACATTTGCTAATTCTAGGAATCATAATTCACAGTTCCAACTTATTACCTGATCATAGCCTTCAGCTTCTGGGTTTAGTACGCATTGCATGTTTGACAGGCAAGAACCATCGTTAACCTAGAAAAACTTCCAATTCTTAAATCACCGAATTTCTTCAAAAAGCCATTACCCATATGTCAAAGCTCAAACCTTTACCTCCATGAATGTGACGCTGCTCTGTAACCGAAGTGTCCTGACCCACCCCATGACAACCACATTCTGACCTACCCGGTCCAAACCTTCATTAGGCCCGCCTTTCACATCGGCAATCTTCAACTTCTTCCTGAACTTCCCAACTCTGTTTCCTAATCCTCCTGCCGGCTGCTCCGCAGCATCGGCGGCAGTCACCATCTCCCCAGGCTGCTTAAGGGCAGCGGAAACCACACTGCAGAAGCGCCTCTTACCAAATTCCTCGCCGGGTAACGGGACCGAAGCGCCATGGAATTGGAATTTTGGCGGGAGAACGTGGGGCTTCGGGGGCACCAGAAGGAACCTAGAACTTGCTTTGAAGAAACGTAGGGTTGAGTGAGAGCTAAACCGGAGAGTGATGGTGGCCGGAGCAAAGGCGGCGGCGGCGGCCATTACTGGGATGTGGTTATAGCCACTGGACGCGTGGCTCGCCGGGATTAGGATTTTTGGAGGGGATTATAGAACCGAAGAACAGAATCGGTAATAGAAAGCAATATTTACTACTGGAATGCCCAAATTATTCTTTGTTTTTTATTTAGTCCCCGAAATTATTTTCATGCCCAAAATGGCCCTAATAAGTAACAATATTTTTTGAGCTTCTGTAGATCTGGGGACTCACGACAATGTCCTAAGCAGCAATATTTATTGTATTTGACAATGGAAATTAAACAAAGATCTACTAAATCCAATCCACCACAGAATTATCACCCTCTTCTGAATTTGAGCTTACAATGAAACTTAATTTTTTCCATTTACTTGATATGAAGGCTGAATAGCTTGCGTTTTAGAGGTTGTGGCTGTAAATTTATACACACTTCGACATACTTTGAGGTGAGTTGAACTGATTGCTCCAAACGGTTAAAATATGTGCTTTTGAGGGCTTCCACTTTCAACTTTCATATCACCTTCAGATTCTTATTACCATCACAAACACTTATATTAACATAAGCCTCATACTAATTAACTATGAAACTCAATACGATCATGTTATTATGTTTTTAGTTCCCTCGGCATAGCCGCGAGTATTGATTATGGTGAATACTAATAACAACAACAAAGGAGATCTCAAGCAGTTGCAACTTGCACAGAATATTATTGTACAACGAAAGTACATGATTCTTTTAGCTTGCTGCATATCACTCCATTGTGAGCCGATGCAATTTATAGACAAACACTCAGGGAGAACATCATTTTAAGTTTATTTTCTCAAAGAATGATGGCTGTAAAGCAAATACAAACAAAATCAAACCGATCAAGCAAGCTATATAGTTTATATCCTCTTCCACATTTTTGTTCAAGACAGCAGCAATACATGCATGCCACTTTGCTTCGTCAAGCAGCAGTAGTCAGCTTTTGGCGAACCTGGATTATTTGGCCTCGCACACTGCACTCCTCCATCTGATTAGAAGCAATAATTTCATGTCACAAAACTGGCAAGAGGATGATAAACCAAAGTAGTTTACTTGCCAAGACGTCAACTAGTATAGAGTACTAGAGTTGAGAGAAAAGCCATTGATATTGAAGGCAGGTCATAGTAGCGGTGAATGGTTGCAGTCCAGAGAAGCAAACCTGTGATTTATGCATCAGAGACAAGAGATCTCCACATTCTTGAACGCGAGCTATCTCTCCTCCACTCACCCTAGCTAATTCTGATACCAGTGTTTCAGTTTCTGCAGCCTGCATTGCCAAATCCGAAGCAGTGATATAGATGGGCGGCTATATAATTAGATGACAGACCACTCCAGAAAAGAACTCCATCTATGTGCGAAGCAATTGATTCCATCAACTTCCCTGAAGACTTCAATACCTCTGCCAACTCTCTTGCATCAACCTGCAGCAGATAATTTCCTCAAACTTGCTGCTGAAAAATTAACCAGTTTCTTGCTTTACTTAACATGAATACGAGGTTGAGAAATGTTGCAAAAAAGCAACGTCGTACCTTGACATTCCCAACGACGGGAAGCTGGATTGAGGCGTTTACTAAAGCTTGAGCCGTCTCCGACAAAGAGACCTTACAATCTGCTTCTATTGTTGTCCATTCATCCAGATATGGCATCTATGGAGAAGATAGTGGTGATGATTAGAAACAACGACTCATTCTTAGTGAAAACCTACTAGGATGTAAAAACAACGACACCAACACCCTTTACATCACTGTTCTAGTTTCGTCATAGTGAAGAAATCTGAGATATGTATGGTGAGCTAAATTAAGCCAAGACAGATAATGCACAGCTAGAATAAGATGAGTCCAGCAAATCACAATTCAGTTTCAGTGAGACTTACCTGAGTCTCCAGGACTGTGGATAGAGCTGCCATTCGCTGCAAACGGGCAAGCTCAATTCTTTTCTTTGTCACCGACTTGTATAACCCGGATATCTTGCAACCAAGGGAATACAACTTCATCTGAAAAAGGGGAAAAAAATTGGCATTGGTAAAACAAGGGTGAGTATCACACAAAATGACATGGTGAAAGCTGATTTGGTTCTCAATCAAAGCTAACAGTTGACCTCGGCTTCTCTACTCTGGGCTTGCGAGGAAGCCTCGGCTTTGGCATTGGCGTACCTCCACTGCAAGTAACGGTTGTGAATCATTCTCATAGCGTGAAAGCCCTCTTGCTGACCAGAGGCTTTCCTTCCCTTTCTCGAAGCATTAGCATCGCTTAGGTCCTTAGCGTGAGGAACTGGAGGCAGAGCAAAACCCCCAATCTTGGCTGATTTCTCGGAGCCTCTTAGCGAGTGAAAGAATGAAGGGTTTTCAGAGGACGATCGTTGTAAATCGAGAGAGAGGGAACAAGGCGAAGCAGGGAATTTCCAAGAAGATGATGTTGTTGTACTCGCGGCGGCGTCGTCGTCATCATCCGGCCCGGAGAGAGTGTTTATGTTTCTCTCCGTCAGTATTCTACGGGAGACGGTGGCCCGCGAAGAGCGAAGGTCCGGAAGAGACTCGGTTGGGCCGGAATTGGGATTGGCTGAGAGATTGACCGACAACGACGATGACATGCCGGTGGAGGACTGAAGCAATTTGGCGGCAGCTGAGTGAGTAACGGCGTTGCAGGGACGATGATGCGGCAAGCGTCTCGATGTGGGGGGAGGAGCGGTTGCCATGGGAGTGTCGGGGCGGTGGTGGTGAGATCGCGGATCCTGCCTCTCGCCGTTTGCGTTTTCCTTGAAAAGTTTGACGGCGGCGGCGGCGACTGTTGGAGAAGCGGAGTTGCCAGCGGAGGAATCCTTATCCAATTCGAGACGGCGGCGTTGCTGGTGTACGGATGTGGATCTCTGGTGCTGCTGCTGCGGGAGAGGGGAGAAGGAAGTGGAGGAGGTCGGCGCGGGAGTCATGAACCTAGAGTTGACCTCCCTCACTCTCGGTCTCCGTTGAGGCGGCGGAGCTTCGACGGCGCTGCTGTGGTCTTCTCCCATTCTTCAATCGATTCGGTGAGAGGAATCGGTGGCTTGTTCGTTAACTAGCCTGCGGGAATCACCAGCGCGAGAAAGTAGCCGTTGTGTTTAGGGAGAATCCGAAAGTGTTGCATGAAATTTTTTTTTTTTCTTCCTTTTTTTGGTTCGAGTACGTTTATATCTTTTAATTTTCTGATTTACGAATAAAGTACAACGGTAACTTTGAATTTGATTTCCTCACACTGCAGAAAACAAAGCAGAGCGTCAAACAGCCGGGTAAAAGGCAACATGAGTTGGAATGGGCAAGAAGTTTTGCCTTCTTGCATTTGGAAACCCAGATTGTTTGATTAATTAGATCCTAGCACTTTTCTGTAAACTTACTCTTCAAACTCGTATGATTGATCTAGTGATATTGCCAGTAATATTTAATTTGAAGATTCCAGATTCAAATTCATTCAATACAATAGTACCCAACTATAAAACAAATCTATATCACAATAATAATTATCTGTACTTTGGAGGAACAAATGAACAATCCTTCATTTCTTTTTTGACAAGGAAATAAGAGTACTACTGTTTCGTTTGAGAACAACCTACCAAAAAACAAGTAGCATAATCATTTGCATTCATCGACGACGATTCATACCAATCAAAACTCAAATGGTCCAAGAGCCTTTTCCGTGGTCGTACTGCCATTTCTCTGATTTTCGTTCTTCTGACTAGCACAAATATCGGTTGCAAACAGACATTATTATCTTATATCTATCTTCTGTTCCTGCTCTCCTCCTTCTCCCTCTCCCTCTTCTTGTACAGCTTCTCGAGAACCTGCTTCGCCTCGCACTTGGGGAAGTTATCCAGATCATAATAGTGAGGAGCTATGTCTACAAGCCTGTTAAGCACACAACAAAATTCGAGATCCAACCATCAATCAACTAGTCTGCAAAACCACAAGTGCATACAACTCAACGCATAGTAACAAAAGGAGGGAGCGAACACACACCATTCACCACGAATGTCTATCACTGTCCGAATGAAGTTCCTGCTAGTCAACACATATTCATTGTACACGACCCATTCTGGCTTGTGATCCAGACAATTCGATGGATGTAAGTGCACGACCTGCCAAAAGAAGAAAACAAAAACCGTTTTGAATACTTTGGTATGCAGAAACACAATCTCAAGCAGACAAAGATTGAAAGCAGCTAACATACTTGGTTGTCCTTGACAGTTAAGTAGTGCCCAGTACGTTCCAGATGAGCAACCTGCATAAAATACCCTGCCAGTATCGCCTTCCTTATGTTGACATAGTAATCCCTGCTGTTGAAATCGGTGCTGCACATCTTGAGGTTATACCTTGACATGCTCCGCACAAGCTGCTGCCTCACATTGTCAGCAGATTTCAGCGCTCTATAATTGATGAAATTATCATAGCACCATGATGGATCCTCATCTGCAACATTCGAGAAAAGGAAAAAAAAAAAAACAGAAGGATGTGGACATGTGGTGATTAATAAAGAGAACATGTGTAAGTAGTAGAACGGAGAGGAAACAAGGAAATCAGAGGACTCACTGTTTTGCTTGAATGCATGGTAGACATTCAACAGAGTGAGGTGATCACCATCAATGTGGGCGAACATAGCTTTGGCTTCATCAGCAGCCTTTTGTGCCTCCCTAGGGCGGACAAAGCAATTGGGTACTAAAGAAAGAATTTTTGGGTTATCACAGAAGAGGCCCACGGTTGGTCAGCAGACGCATTACAGGCGAAGAAGACGCGACAACATTTGCTTCATGATGATATAATACTGAGAGAAAACTGCAAACTATCTGCATCAGCACTTAAAATCCTATATGGTGCATGCCAACAAGAGGTGGCATGGGAGCAATACAAGAGTTGCTGATGACACAACCTAATTGAGCACACATCGTCTTCACCTACATGCTTGTGGTACTACACAGGCATGAAGTTGATGAGCCTGAAGGGTAGCCGACTCAGTTAGGATGGAAGTTCGGGATTGGTATGGAATACCCAATATAAGCCATATGGTGGAATCATATATAGGTTTTATTCATTTGGCATTTCGGTAATTCAGTACTATTGAAAAATACAGGATTCTTTCACTTTATTATTTAATAATTAGGCGTAAAAGCCATAGGAGAGAGAGCTTCATTTTTTAAAAGCATTATTTCTCAAAATTTTGATCTTTTCCATAAATCATCCGAGAACTTTGGGTAAGCAGTTGGGTAACATCAAACTAGAATAATACTGCAAATGGAGTGTAATTTTATATTCACAAATTCCTATTCTGTGGGTAATACCGATACCAAACCAAACTTCCACCCTAAAGTCACAGTGAAACTGTGCATAAGCCCATATGGAATGGATCTTCAAACCCAACCATGTGCTACCAGAATTCAGACGACGCTAAGCACAATAAAAAAATCTATATAACACAAAATGAGAAATCAAGGGATATACCTGACAGCATAGCACAAAGAGAGAGGATCTCATTTGAGCAATTAAACTCTGGACTAACCACCAGCATCTTCCCCATCTGAGGATCGAGCGGAAACTCGCTCATAATCTCCCCAAGCTTTGTCAGGTTACCCTCATCATCCAGCGCTCCCAAATAGTTCAACATCTCCAAAGCCCTCATCAACGTCTCTGGTGCAGGTGGGTCCATGAAATCAAAATGGACTAGATCATCGATTCCCAGCTTCTTCAATGTCAGAACAATATTCCCTAAGTTCGACCTTAATATCTCAGGATAAGTCTGCGGCTGAAGATCCTGATTGAAGCTCCTCTCAGTATAAAGCCTGAAGCATTTGCCCGGCGCCGTCCTACCAGCTCGACCTGCTCTCTGATGAGCACTAGCCTTGGAAATAGGAGACACCAAAAGGGACTCAACTCGAACACGTGGGTTGTAAACTTTTTGCTTGGCAAAACCGGGATCAATCACATAAACAATCCCGTCTATAGTAAGAGAAGTTTCAGCAATGTTTGTAGAAACCACGATTTTCCTCCCGGGTGGACCGTCCTCTTTTAAAGGAGGTGGAGCAGGCTCGAATATCTTCTGCTGCATGGCTGGAGGAAGAGTTGAGTACAAAGGCACGGTTTTCACAGGACCCACCTGGTCTCCTAAATTACCAATCTCTTTAGAAATTTTGCGACAAGCATCTTCGATCTCTTCCTCACCTGTTAAGAACACTAGTATATCTCCAGGCCCTTCACATGTGTGTATCTGGACAACCGTTCTAATTGCTGCTTCAAGGTAGTCTCTTTCCGGCTCCTGTGTGTAGAATATCTCCACAGGGTGTAGCCTACCAGGGACTTTCATTAGAGGTGCCCCACTAAAATAACCCTGAAACTTTTCAGCTTCGAGAGTTGCACTCATGACCACCAACTTAAGATCCTGACGGTTTCTCAACACCTCTTTGAGAAGGCCAAAGAGCACGTCTGTTGCTAAAGTTCTCTCATGGGCTTCATCAAGGATTATTACTTTGTACCTTTCCAACAGGGGATCCGTCATGGCTTCTCTTAAGAGCATACCATCGGTTAAATACCTGAACAAAGATTAGAACAGCGGTTTGTGTTAACACAAGGTACAGGGTATACAAAGATTAAGTTGAAGACAGAAAACAAAAGCCACTTACTTCAAAACTGTCTTATGACTGCTCTTGTCTTCGAAACGGATGCTATAACCAACTTCTTCACCGATGATGACATCCATCTCTTCAGCAACACGTTGTGATACAGACATTGCAGCCACTCGACGAGGCTGAGTGCAAGCAACCAGCATCTTGCGCCTCTTATCCGAAGTGTCCGACTCAGCAGCTTCCAGAACGAATTGCGGAATCTGAAAACAAGCAATTCTCATTAACTATAGCATTCCACCTCATACAAACACTCGGAAATCTAGTTAATCCAAACCTATGCTCAAAGTCAGTTTATGCTACGTAACTAATTAGAAACCCATCAAGATCAAAGCTTCACTAAATCCCACTTTTACATTCACGAAACCAAAAACAATTCACGAGGAATTAAGAACAAGGAGTAATGAAAAAGACACAAGTACCTGGGTAGTTTTGCCACTCCCAGTCTCACCAACAAGGATGATAACCTGGTTCTTCTTCAAGACATCCAAAAACTCCTCCTTCTGCTGCCAAACTGGGAGAGTCTTCCTCTTCTCGAGTATGTCGTAATACCTCTGCGAATACAGCTTTCCATTCCACCGATTGACGGAGCTGCTGCCGCTCTGGGTGATCCCGTTCGAGAACATGGTGGCTGTACCAACAGCTGCTCCACCGTTGGCCGCTGACTTTGCGAGCTTAGCAGAGACCGACGACTCGTCCACCACATCAAACAAGCTCACCTTCCTCTTCCTCTCCGTACCCATTCAAATCCCGCGTTCACGCCCGTCCGGAACCCTAATTGGTGCGTCGCACCAGAAACAAAATCCAGCGAGCGCGAAATCCAGAAGAAGAAGAAAAAAAAGCTACGAGGTAATTGCAGGCACGGCGAATACCAGACGGAACCCTAGCGGTGTGGGTTTGGCAGGAACCGGGGGCGGGGAGAAAGGTTCGAAACGGCGGGGGCAGTTCACAGTTGTCGTGCCCTATATATGTGACGGAAGAGAACGTCCGGCTTCTACTCGGGCAATGGGTGGGTCAACCACTAAACCCACCCGAGTCGGAGTCGGAATCCTTTTGTGTCGGTTATTTATTATCTTTCGTTTAGATTCCATGGTTAATTTACATAATGGTCACGTAATTGTACACTTTTGACAGAAGACTAATACCATGTCTTCTGCTCATTATTTTTGCTATGTTGTTAACAAAGAAGAGAATTGTGATCCAAACTGAAGTGTACATGATTACACTAGCGTAGTAAAGCGATACAAACGAGTAGGGTTGTTAATGAGCCGAGCTATTCGTGAGCGGCTCGGTTTCGAACTTGATAAAAACTCGTTAGATTAAAAAAAAGCTCGGCTCGTTCTCGTTAGATTAAAAAAAAGCTCGGCTCGTTAATAAACGAGTTGAGCTTGAGCTCTACCTTGTTCCGCTCGTGAAGGTGGCTCGTTTAATACAACTCATGAGTTGTCTCGTTTTGAGCTTATGAGATGTCCCAACATTGTGACTAGAGAGCCAACTCGATTACAGCTTATGAGAAAATCAATCTATATTTTATGAGTTGGTTTGTTAATGATGCATATAATTATTAAATTGTATATATCACCTCATATGGTGTTTAATACATTGAGTATATGTAAGCAAATACGCCTCATATATGACATAACATTAGGTAATCACTTGTATCACATATGACATATAAATATTAGGGTGTTTATATTATAAATTATCTTAGAGTTGAGCACGAGCCGAACTTTCGATCTTAATGATGTGTCAAAATTTAATAAATGAGTTGGCTCGTGTTCGGCTCGTTTATAAACGAGTCGGGCTCAAGCTCGGCTCGTTTATAAACGAGCCGAACATGAACAAGACAAAACTCAACTTGACTCGGCTCATTAACATCCTACCGTGATTAATCAACTTACTAGTATGTTAATTGTTGTTCTGATGTAATTGAACCATATACACTTTAGTTTACATGACAATGCTTTTATTTATTTACAATATAAAAACTAATGAGTAGATGACATGGCATGTTTTATGTCAATTCCCTCACACTCATTAGATTCATGTGCATAATCTTATTTCATTGTACATGTTTACTTTGTTTGGAGTGATGGATCCAGGTATTTTATATAGTTGTGTCCCTTTCAAAACATTAAATTTAAATAATAATAATAAAATTTAAAAAAAATAAACTCACTGTCTAAATTACTCAACGAATATTTTTTAAATATATCATACTAGACAATTATTCACAAACTGATCACTTATTAAATATCGTATGATCCATGAAACCGTACCAGAGACTGTACTGGAAAAATCAGTGTTATGGGTATTTTATGGCAAAATCGTGGTATAATCGTAGTTCAACCGTTAGTATCGGTAAATAGCGTCTACCGATTTAGCCTCCAATATTGGTATTTTGTAGTTGAACCGCCAATACGGTACGATTTCATGGACCATGCAATTTCGAAACATGTTCTTAATGTAATCCAAAGTCGAAAAAGTTATATCAACACTTGTCGTTGCAACTAGTAAAATCAATAAAACTTTGAGGAGCAAATAGACCCATAATATCATAGATTCACCTTTGTCTCCACCATCAACTGAGTTCATTCACCATTCCTTATAATCCACGGAATAAGTCATCATTCTTAACTCAATGATAATAATTCTAAAAGTCTAGTAGAACAAAATAGTGAGAAAGGTTATCGAGCTCTTTAGAGTATGGTGGGGTTAAGGCGGTAGCCCATAGCCGAATTGGATTTGACTTTTAGGTTTTGTAAAACTCGGGGATAAGGGTAGCTTATAGAGGCTTATAATTATATTTATGTTAAAATTATAACAACAAATGAATTGTATTTCAAAGCAAAACAAGTTTGCCTAATAATTATAGTCTCACATGTTTAAATCACAATGATTACCATCTATTTTTCCTCCATTTTTTCTACAGTTGAACTATTATCGGAAATTCGTTTATTCCCCTCCAAATTTTAGGGGTTTTCCGATACACCCCTAAGCAGCCTTGGGTATGCCCTTGATTGCTTGTATCATAATGATTAGTCACATGAAGGATAATTCTTTGTGCAAAAGGTTATTATTGATTCAAGGTGTCAAGTGTATAAGTAGTCACTAAACTTTAATGTCACTAACAAATTAATCCGTAAACTTTCATGGTTAACAAAATTTCCACTAAAAGGTTGGAATCAAATCACTCTATAGTATACCCTAACTTCTAATAAACTAATTTTATTCCCTAATTATAAGATTCATTTAATTTAAAAAAAATCGATAATTCTTATTTGTCAAAATAGATTAAATTACATCTAATAATGTAAACATATACGTATAACTTCCTAAATTTACAAACTATTTCTTCGTGGAATTAATAAAATGAATTATAAATTATTCCCCCTACGGCTGACCTACCACAATTGGAATGAACATTGAACAAGTAGGAGCATCAACGTTATCATTTCATTACACACTTGTCTATAGAAATTAGAGGTAATCATATCGTGTTCCACCTTTTCTGTCCAAATGCAACATTTGCATGTGGCTATCGGTTGGCACGCCCTTTTCTGTGATTGATTTCTTTCAAAGCTTGTTGCGGCTAATCTAGGTTTTCTATACCGATAGATTTGGAAAGCTAGATGCACAACAACGTATAAATGATTTGCATGTACTTCAGTTCGGCAGGTGGGAGAATGGGGACTAGCTCAAGCACAAGTGCACCACCGTTCAGTTGGTTCAGTTGGTCCCGATGATTAGAGTTTTCGGAGAGATTCAATAATTGATCTTATATCACATACTGATAGCCACATCCCCTTAAATAAAAGTCACTCATAAGGATTTGAAGTTTGCACCGATACGAATATCATGTGTTTAACAAATGGAATCATAGACTTTTTTATGGATCTTATATACATACCGACACGTCCCTCCTACTATTCCTACTAGTAATCCAATCTTAATATATTTTGATGGTGCTAATAAAGCATTGGTGGGTGGTGGAGTTGGTTTAGTGAGTTTCGACGTAGGAAGTGAAGTTTCGTTTACATTGGACCGCTTTTATCAAGAGTCCTTTGATCCTCTTTTCAGCGAGTTTTGGCTCTCCGAGATTTCCTTTGTTGGTGTTTGACTCATTACTATTTTAATGTTTTGTTTTGTGGTGATTCATGTATACTTATTCGGATGATCATTGAGGAGGATTTGTCGAATGCTATGGGGCAATCCTTCAAGAGATTCAAGTGTTAAGAAATTGACCGCTATTATACTACAAAGTGAGAAATAGAACTATGCACACGTGAAAAGAAGACCTTGAATATTTTCGTAATAATACTGCTTTTCCTTTTGGATAACTCTAAAAAATACATATTAAAATTTCTTGATAAATGTTCAATTGAAAATGAAGATATCCCAAATCTCTTAATGCACTTGAGATCCTTTTTAAAAATCAAGAGAAATTCTTTACAAGCCACAAATAAGTAGCTTCTTTTTTTTGTTTTTGCTTTCTTGCTGTTCTCTGGGCTGTCCCTTCCTTCAAGGGGAAGCCTGGTGCTTGTTGAACTGGTTTTGTTTTTTGGTTTTTAATTTTAATCACCCTCATAAAAAAAAAACAAATAAGTAGGTTCATTTTATCTTGTTCAACGTGAACTCTTCTATTTCTTACTCACTAAACCAATTATGAAATCGGATGAAGAAATTTAATTCATTTGTTTTATAATGAAGTAATTAAGTCAGATAGTCTCTAGTAACGCAAAATGAGATGTGACAATTGAGTCGAGAAAATTTAAATTGTCTTACTTAACTTGTATCAATTTGAATTGACACGATACATATATTGCGAAATAATGCATCGATTGCAAGACAGTAATTTTTAAGACCGTCTCATTTCATAACTTCATCATCCAAATAACTCCTTACTTCCTTAATGCCATTGGGTACTCCTCATATGTACATTACAACGAGAACATGTTAATCTAGGATATCTCGATTCACACTAGCATGGAAATTTCAAATTTGAAACTCCAAACATTGTGGATAGTAATATTTGTTTGTATCAGTATAAATATATTTGTATAAATTCGTAGGGAATTGGTCAAATAGAACAAGAAAACAGACAGACATACGTAGGCGAAACAAACAATGGACGTAGTAGCAGAAAGAATTGTTAAATTTCTTGTCCCCCTCTCGTTTCAGTGAGAAACGAATATACAAAGCGTTTAAACAAAATTTACAAGCTCGGAATTAAAATCAGTCCATCGTCTACATCGCTCGCCCAATACTTCTCCTCCTCCTGGAATTCTCCCCCTTTGAGTGCTTCGCCACAAGGCAACGAATTTTCATACTTCCCCTATTCCCATTATATACCTTCCTCTCTGCCTCTCTCCTCTCTCTGTCTCTCCCTCCCCGTCGGAATAGCAGACGGCTGTGAAAATGGCGGATACCCACAATCACGACGACTTAGACCAGCTGCTCGATAGTAATACCCACCTGCCCTTCTTCGTTTTTGTGCGATTTCTCGACTCAAGTTCCGACCTTTTTTGTTTCTGCTTCCCTGTAGGTGCTCTCGATGATTTCCAGAGTCTCAATTTTGCGGCTCCAGCCTCACAGCAGCGGTTCCGATTCTTCCTTGATTGATGGCTTCCATTTGTGCTGCTCCTTTAGTAAAATTTTCGGCATGTTATCTTAGAAAAAAAGCTGTGATTGGTAATGCAGAAGCGCTGGCGGCGATGAAGAGAGGATGAAGGTTGAGGGGTTTGGTGATTTGCCAGCTGGGATTCAGGGTTTGGGGATGGGATTGCCCGGCTTGAAGAAGAGCAAGAAGAAAGGGAAGCAAATGGCGGCTGCGACAGCAGGAGATTCTTCTACTGGTCATGTGGCGGAGGCGCTTGATAAGCTTAGGGAGCAGACGAAGGAGGCTGTGAAAGGAATGGAGTCTGTGACTAGTGATTCAAAGGGTGATGACAAGGATGTTGCAATGGAGGCTTGGGTTAAGCAGTTCGAGGAGCTCGCCTCAACCCAGGTAAAGTTTCAACCTTTTTCCTCTCTGATCGTGCTTCATGATGTGATCTTGGTTCTCATGTATAGACCGTTATTTGGAAATGAAGGCCATTGACTTGTTGTGATTGACTTGTTAGAGTTCAGTTTTTGGTTTGTTTGTGGTCGATCACGCTGAAGCACTGGCTACTGCCAAGGAGGGTCTCCTAGGTAAGTAGGAAATGTTTTTTTGCTATTGGTATGAGCAAATAGTTGGAATCTTCTTGACAGTCCAGACTGAGTGAGAGATTTGACTCTTAAACTGCTCATAAAATGTATCTTCACTTCGATAAGTCTCTTGGCCAAGTAAGGATGGAAAAGAGGTTTGCTTTCTTTGTCAATAGCCTGTGTAGTTAAAAGTTGGAGGCTATATGATGTCTGGTGAAATTGATGGATGTGTGCTTGGGCTAGGAACTAGGTTGTGAATTATTGTTATGGAGGACAGACGTACGGGGAAGGCAATTTAGCAGTTAAGAGTTAAGACTATCATTTTGATCTCATTGTTATCCTAGATCCTGATGTTCCTTTCTATCCAACTTTCCTCCTTTTATGAAATCATCAATGGATGGTGTCATATTATCATTGTCCAGAGTTTTACCATGTATTTGTGACTAATCCTGGCTTCTTCCTGTTTGCTTCATTTGCAAACTCTGCACCCTCGGTTGTGAATTATCGTCACAGCTTAACTTCACACAGCCGTCAGTTTAATTCCAATATATCTCAACTTAAGATTGGAATCTAGTCAGTTTGCAATTCTGATACCCTGTAGGGTTTTCTTGTGATTTAAGAAACTGAGATGCATGTCTTCTTTAGCTGGAAAGGCTATATGAAATTTGGAAGGGGAATAATTTCTTCAGATAAAAGAGATTTGGGAGCAGAAGTGCCAGATTTTACACTTTTGTGGAAACATTTCCGTTCTAAACTTAAGTGATACTGCTTCTATCTATTCGGATGTCTTGAGCTCTTGCCTCTTTGCGGTAATGTTCTACCTTCATTATATTATTATGTTTATCTTTTCTCCTCCTCCCGTGATCAGGACATGGAATCTCTGGTGGAGTCCATGATGCAGCAGCTGCTGTCAAAGGAGATTCTTCATGAACCCATGAAGGAAATCGAAGGGAGATATCCAATATGGTTGAAGGACCATGAATCTAGTTTGAGCAGGACAGAATACGAACGTTATTCCCAACAGTACGAACTCATAAAAGTTCTGAACCAGGTTTACGAGAACGACCCCAACAACTACACCAAGATTACCGATCTCATGCAAAAGATGCAAGAGTGTGGGCAGCCACCTGATGAAATCGTCCGGGAACTCGCTCCTGATCTTGATTTGGCTAGCCTCGGTCAGATGTAAGTGCTTAAACTTCTCATCTAATTCTTATAAGTTATTCATTTTGCAACTGTCATGACATGCGTATTAAGAAATGCCCTTCTCCTTTGCCTTCTTTTGAATTTGCAGAACACCGGAGATGATCGAGTCCCAGCAAAACTGTAGCATAATGTGAAGGAAGACAGACAGAGATACCTTTGCTTATTGAAAGAAAGCCTATGATCAAATCATCTTCGCTTCATGTTCTACTCTTTATTCCTGTAGCTACTTTTGAGTGAAACATTCATCTACATGAAGAAGGTAGTCTGGTCTGGCATTCCACCATATATTACGAAAACACACGAAGGAACATGATTGATTGTCGGTTGTCAGTTACCACAAACGCAATCTCCAGTTCTCTGTATGACTGTATCAACAATCACAAGAAAGCCATGTAAAGCAAGAAAACCACAAAAACTCTGTATAACACAAACTTCTCTTATGTATGTTCCTCTAGATACTGGATTACTGGTCTTTGGACTTCGAACGAATGAAAGAATGAATGAATCGCGCATTACAGATAAACAGGAAGGAAGGAAGAATGAATCACAACTGATTCTAAGCAAGTAAAGCATCAGCTGGAAGCCAGTGCCTGCCATTAACAAAGCTCTTGGCTAGAAACTTGTGTGCAGAATCATAATCTAGCTCTCTGGCCCATGATACACCTCTCACTTTCTCAGCTCCAGGCCCCCAACATTTGTACACTCCAAAGTACGCCGTCCTGTTTAGTCAATCAACCAAACAGATTAATCATTGTTGTGCGGTGGCTTTGCCATAGTCTAGCTAAGAATGGAAATGCATATTTTTGCTTGCTTACTTGTTTTTGTTGCTGACGTGGTCCCAGTCATCCCAGCCACCGTGTGCAACCACGTCATCGAAGTAGGTATAGGAGTAGACGATCCTGGAGTACTGGCCCATGGCTCGGCCCACGTAGAGCGGGCCTGTCCCAGTCACTCTGCAGTTCAAGAATGCAAAGCCCGACTTCTCGTCAGGGTGTCTTCTATCTTGGGCCGCGATGGACCCGAATCTTGTGGCTATCGAGTGCAGCTCGCAGTCCTGCATCCCCGCATAAATCATAATCAACCAACCATTCTGGAGGAAATTTACAATGCTTATAGTTATAAGTAAGGATTGTTTAGGATAGAGATTGAATTGATACTATAACTGAAATTTCAGTTTATCCTACCAATAATATAAAGACGTTCTCCTAGAATAATCACCCTATTCATATTTCCTGCCCTGTGCGCACAGGTCGGAAGGACGACATGGTCTTTTACTTACTCCGCAGTTTAGCTAAAAGGCAAATTAATTTGAGCTTCAAATGTTATTCAAGCCCATGGCTTAACTTTAGCTGCTCAATTCCTAATTCAACTTGCATAATCCCTCCGCCATTAGAAATAGCAATTGAAAGTTTGGGCGAGTATGTCGATATTCATATATGTTTGTTGGTATAAATTCGGTTAGATAATTTTTTGTTAAGACAATGATTGGGATAGATCGATCCATGTGGACATATAATTTAGGGTAATGTCTATTTTTTATCCAAATATTTTTCAGATTCTTTTATATTATCCAAACCTATCAAAATAATAAGAATTAGCCAAATGTTAACTTCAAGTTAGCAATTTTATTAGTAATATTGACTTGGCAAAATGATACTGACTTGGAAGAGACACATGAAGATCAACATTTTAAAACTTTAGTATTTTAACTAAAAAACGAGTTATAAAATTATTAACGATAACTTAAAAATGGCTAATATTTTGATGAATTACGAAAGATTTGGCTAATTAATAGCATTTTAATAGGTTTGGGTAATATTAAAGCATCTGAAAAATGTTTGAAAAAAAAAACAGACATTACCCTATAATTTAAATTAAAAATACTAGAAATATTGATTTTTAATTAAAAAATTAAAAAACAATGTATAACATAATTAGAGTAGTTAAATTATTCAAATAATTGAGATTCTCACTTATTTACAACTTTATTGTTCCAACGGACCGGGTCTGGGACTGAATCTAGTACTATATAAGAATTTGTATAAAAAATATTGGTATAAATTGCATTTTAATAATATACAAAGCAAAACAGCTCAATTATTTGTGTAATTTACCCAAACTAAACAACTCAATATCAATAAAGTAAAAAAAAAAAAAATCATACAAGTGGGCTTAAGATTTTTTTTGTTTTTTTGTTTTTTGGATTTAAACACCTGAAGTATAACAAGTCAATAAAGTGAGGAGATTGGTGATTCGTCGGCTGATTATCTGAAGCCACCTTTGTTTTCTTGTATGAAACTAGAGCTTGCAATTGCAATGAGTAAAAAAGGAGACATACCCTAGGTCCTAGCTTAGGGAACAAAATTTCAAGGAAGCAAAAGTCGCACCCATTTTTTTTCTAATACACTTTAAATTACCTTTATTTATACTATATAAACAATTCATAAAAAGATAGCACATTTTACTATATAAATAGAACAATAATATGTTACCAAATGTACATGAGATTTTGGTTCTAATTTCCGTTTACTCATGAATTAAAGCGGTCTTTGACTAAACACATATACGAACATAATCAGCGTAATTGTGATTTCTGAGACTCACCGTAAACATATGACAGTTTGCCTATTTACATCCAACGATTTTAATTTTGTAAATAACCATATGACGACATGCATCGACCAACTATATAAATCATTGGATACACGAGCCAAGAACCTAATTAATAAACAGATCGATACTGCTTAGCCCTAACCCCGTAATTAATAAGCAGTGACTGTCTGACTGAGTAGTAGTAAAACGAACAAAGTAGCAGGTAGTGGGAGCGGGAGCGGGCCATATATAGATTTTTCTTCCTTGATGTGAACAAGACAAGCTGCTGCTGATGCTAGAGAAAAAAAGCTAAGGGACAGAAAATTAAAGCAGCAGCGCCATGCATATATATTTATTAGGTCACGGGCTGGTAATGTGCACCACTCGTTTTCTTTCTTTGTTTCTCTTTCCCGGTTCGAATAACGCATGTACGTATGGACAGTGAGTTAATTAGCTTACTTTGTACATGGACCTTCCGTTGCCGAAGATGAAGTCGATGGATCCCTCGATGTAGCAGTCTTTGAAGTAATGCCTGCCGGCGTCGTCGCACAGCGTGTCCTGCGCCCCGTAGAACCCGCACCCCACGAAGTACGCCTTGTCCCCCGACACCCGAATCGCCACCGCCTGCCACCCTTGCAGCCCCGGCCGAGGCGCCGCCGGCGCCGTGTTCTTTTTTTGTACAAACCCAAAATTAAACACATACGCTATTAATTAGGATTAGGTTACATATCTATATGTATATAGAGAGAGAGACCATAGCTAGTGTGATTGTTAATAAATAATGTGACAACTGTCAACTGACAAATGAAGTATATTTTACGTACCTTGAAGCTGATGTTCCTTGCGGTGAAGTAGTTGGCCAACACGGTAACCGAGGCGGTGCGGTAAGTCCTGAGCTGCTCGCCGTTGGGTGCCGGGTCGCTTGCTCGGTCGTGCCACTCGATCACCGTCGCCCCTCTTCCCGCCGCTCCTTCCAGCGTTATGTACGGCTTCGTCGCCGGCACCACCACCTTCTCTCTGTACATTTAAATAATATTATTAATTAATTAATTATCATTACTATTACACAATAAGCATGTTTATATTCCGTTACTTTGTAAGTAGTGATTTAAGTAATTGTACATGTAGACTCCGGGGGAGAGGAGGATGATGACGTTCTCGTTGTTGTTCTCCGGGACGGAGTCGATGGCTGCCTGGACGCACCGGAACTGGCCCGACCCGGCGATGTCCACCGTGATGACCCGGCGGCCGACCGGCCCGACCCAGCCGTGGTGGCCGCGGCGGTACTCCGAGGAGTTGGGGGCAGCTGCGGGAGAAGGAGAAGGAGGATAAGAAGAAGAAGCAGCAGAAGTCAGTACTACTGAATCATGCAACAAGAATGAATAAAGCAAAGCACAGCAGAAAATCAAACGATAAGTATAATTAGTAGTAGAGTGGTAGATAATTAGGGAAGCCATTGATGAATTAGAGGCAGCTTATTATGTAGGAGAATATAATATATATCCTGCAGATAATCAGTCGTCACTGAGCGACTGAGTCAGGCAGGCAGCATGGGAGGGGGAATTATTAGGAGATGGTGTAAGAAGTATACGAAGTTGCGGTCGTTTATTTATATATTAAAAACCAAACCTGAGTTATTGTCACATTCCTGGCCCTTCCAACGGTCGTATTTCTTTTTAATTTTGGGAGGAAGGTTATTATTATTATTATTATTATATTTTTTGGGTGAAGAAAGATGCCCTTGCAAATTATTTGGCTGGATATTAGTGTTGGTATGTAAAGGTTGGTAGTCGTTATTTTGTGTTTGTTGTGTAGGGGGCTCTCCGTATTATTTATTTGGCTTTATCTGACTCTACTTGGATACTCTCCTTGTTATTAGCCCCATATATAATTGTATTGTGGGTTTGAGAGAATTCTCTTTCTCTATCTCGTGTGTTTCCCACACTACATTGTTGTCTACTAATTCTAACTCTCATCTTATTCTTCTTTCTTTGTTCGAGAGAGTACTCTCCTCATTGTGACAGACTTTACTTTTACGATGAATATATTTGCTGATTTTAGGCTAATCCTTTATCATATCATTATGGATGAGAATGGGCGAGTCTTCTGAAACCATTATCATCCTTATTTTCAAATATCAAAACTCATACTCTTCTCATAAGTCATACCTATGTGTGAAAGGTTTTTCAATCTCATTCCCAATCCCATAATGTTCGAGTGTTGGCGAGTAATACCCTCCCCATACTTCTAACATTATTATACCTTATGTTTTACATACAAATTTTAAATTATGACATTAAATGGACCTAATAAATGTTGAAATCAATAAAAATACAACCATACTGAATATGGTTCATTGAATATTATCTTAATGTGTTCATAGTATAATCAAGGGGAAATGAATGAGTGAAGGGAGGCTATGATGGGGTAATTGTTCTCATCACATTTAATAAATAACATAATCTTCTAATAACTAGCAATAAAATAAATTACTAGTAATCGACATCTTGCTTAGCCAAAATTAACATCGCATGTAATATTTTTCATCGCCTGTATCCATCCAAATTTATTACCAAGGACTGTCAACTAAAAAAAATGTCTCTCATTGTTGATCCAAATTTCAAATTCTATGGTGAGAATGTTAGTGTGTGGTATATGATCCACGATTGAACTTTTTTCAACGACTCGAATAATTGGGATCAACTGGTTCTTGATTGTGAATGTGTGATATATGCTCATATTCCCAATATTACCACTGGTAGCTAGCCCAACTCTAAAAAAATAATTTAGATCAACAGGTTAGACAAATTCTAAACAAGAAGAGGGTGTGCTACAATATATAAGTGGCATGCCGCATGCATTAAATAATTATGCGAAACAAAAACAAGGTTATCCTGTGGTGGGATTAGTTCTAATTATCAGGGTACTGATTGGCAGCCATTAACAGAAAGCTGAGACTGACACCTTTCTGCACGCTGGTTCCTCTTCTTCAACAGACAACAATAATATCACGATTTATGGTCTAGGGCATGGATTTTAACCTTGTTTTATCCTTCTGTTAATTAGTACGTTACCGTTAATTATCTCTCTTCTCCTCCCTGTTCCTCTCTGGGTTTGTTGCTGGTCCCGAAATTGCTAATGGTAATGGGCCCCAGGTGGCCTGATGTCTCTCGTCTTGTCGCCATCCTCGACTCTCAAAGATGCAGCAGTAAAAAGGGATCCAAACTTTTTCGAACGTTGGGTCTGGTTCTGGCATATATGGTGGAGCCTAAGCCTGAGCCTGACGACGACGGCGACGGACCCCAGCTTTCTTCTCTCGTCTCTGTCTCTCTTCGTTGGCAAAGGCTCACCCAATGGCTAAACCCCAGAAACAGAAAGGAATCAACGTACTGTGGGCTATATGCGGTTGGCCCATATTGGCCCCCGGAGCCCACAGAAGCCCGGCCCATTTCTTGCTTGCTAGGCTGACTGCAGACAGAAAAAACAATCTGCGCCCACCTCTGGGCTGCAGCCTGCAAGTTGAGACCGGCGAGAGTAGCAAACTCTGCACCAACAGTGAGTTCGTTAACGTCAGAGTGCGAGAGCCTACTTCTGGCAACTGTCACTCAATCTAGCTCTAGATATCAAATTGTGTTGAAGCAGAATGCAGGATTGCAGAGTGGAGAATTGAAGTTTGGTGCACTCTGCAGAAGGAAGAAGGTTGAAGATGGTGACTCTGAGGATTGGTTGAAGGTTGAATCGGGCTTCCTTTCACCCGGTTCCACTCATACTTCCATTCAGCAAAATACATGTAACTAACGTTTACTTTTGCCACTTGACTTGACACTACTTAATTTGTTTGTTTAATTAGTTACTTAGTCTTAGCCACTAGCACCGTGTTTAGAGACTTATGTACAGTTGACCCTCCTTATATAAGCTCCTGCAAAATTCTTTTGTTCATCATTTTCTTCTCTAACCCTAGCACTAATGTAATTACAAGACAAACATCTGGTCTTTTAAGTGAGGGATTTAGACCCAATTCCCTTATAGATTCCTCAAAATCAAATTACTCATTCAAACGACTCCGAAAAGAAACGCCAATGGGTTATTCAACTGGACATAGTTGACAGAGTAATACTCTTGGCAAGTTGATGCAATGTACGTTTGCTCCATCATGTATTTCCGACTTTTGTTGCTTCTTTCAGTTCCAAAAAAATGTACCAAACTAAAGAAATATACACTCAAGAAAAAAGTCTCTGCAACCAGCCATTCCTTTCTATTCTTTGCTACCGCTAATGAAGGAAGTTACAGCAGTGATGATGACAATAGTCCATTACAAAACCAGGCAGAGCTTTACATGAGAAACGTAGACCCTTTCTCCCTCTTCTATGAAATATGAATACAACATTACCATCATCTCCCAGTACGTAGTTAGCTTTTTTTCAAGTCCCCAACAACAATCAAAGAATTACAGAGGACGAGTTCAGAAGAACTAAAGACGAAGCCCTATCCAAAACTCTGACTTCCCCCTTTATCATCATTCCGTCCTCTTCAACAAAGCTTGTTCAACCCTGAAGGCGGCGAAGATGACTCCCCAAGCTTAGGAAACAGAGCTTCCCTCTCAAGATGGAGGCTAGCCATGACCTTACTCAACGAAACCCAGAGCAATGGCGCGGCGCAGAAGGCGTACCCGAACACCGACAAAGCTCTCACAACACCATCTGGGTAGTAAGGAAACGCCATCACAAACAGAACTCCCGAGATCCCCATCCACGGCATCAGGACGTGGAGCGTCGGCAGCATGAAGGCGTTGATGGCGATGGAGCAGAGAGCGAATGTGCCCAGCAAGTACAGAGACCATCCCAGCACGGGGTGAAGAGTGCAGGGGATGATGAAGAATGGGACTACGTACGCTGCGAGGATTGCCCATAATGAGATAAGCTTGATGGTGGATTGCAGCAAGGAGATGGTTCTGTCGCCGGTTCTGCGGTTGCATAGCTTGGTCAGGTTTGGCCTTGCGAGACGAGTGACTGCTATTATGCCGAGGTAGAGGATTGATTGGATCACCACCATTGGCATCTCTGGTCCATATCTGCTCACCAATAACAATGTTGGTTCTTACAATTAACTTATATTCCCCGCTCCATAAGATGTTTTTCTCCACAATGTAATATAAATAGCTTACCCGAGATGCTGACGGCGCTGCTCGTGCCACTGGATGCCTAGAGGCAGAACGGGCCACGACCACCAGTACCATGGCTTCAACCATGGCGCACCAGGGAAAGTAATGACGCTGTTAGGACCGCATGGGACATTCCACCTCAATCTGAGATCTGAACGGTCAAACAAACAAACGTTCAGAATACTTCAGTTAAAAAAGTGGCGATCTTTTTCGAAAGATGGTTGCTTCTTAATTTGTTACTCAATACTCACAGTAGTAAGAGGCATCCATTTGATAACCAAGAGGAAGCCTATACGACCCATTGACGGCTGACCCACTGGCGGGAGGGTGGAACAGTGGCTTGTCCAGCAAGTCAGGGAAGTATCCGCCGATGAAGCCTTGGTCTGCACCATCAGGGTTGTCTTTCCCGACGTCCACCTGATGAAGCATGTCTTTGAAAACTGCATCAGATGGCTGCAAGACGAAGAGACCCGTGTGGAAGATGCAGGGGTTGATGAAGACCGCACAGAACTGGCCGCACTGGAACAGCTCGTCGGAGTTGCGGAGGAAGAGGTTGTCGGCATCCAACATGACGACGCGGTCGTAATCGACGAGGCTCCATGCGTAGAGCTTGTTTAGTGTGAGCTTGAATCTCCTGTCGAAGTTGGTTTGGTCCTTGTATGGGTTGTTCACGTTCTCCACTCTCACCACTCTTGCTCCATCCTCAAGTTCCCTAAGTTCACAAAGAAGAACCATCACAATTAGTCAGCTTTCTTTGCACATGACATAATCTAGATTTCTATCCACAAGTTTAAGATATTTATATTCAAGATCAAACCGGATTAAATCAAGTACATCTTTCATTAAGGTTTTATCCTTTTCTCTTACTTTAAAAACCATCCTACATCAAATTGGTTCAATTTCAATCCAAACCAGCCATTAACGATAATTGTCAGCATAAACACTACAAATTCCTAATTTCCCTCTATTTCCTTTAGTAAACAGATTTGATGGTCTGCACATTTAGCAGGCCTCCCGCAGGAGCACATGGGTTAGCTGAGCTCACAAGTCTCAATCCAAAACAAGTTACTTGAATAGAGGAAGGAAAAATGGAAAATGGACAATTCGCCAAGATTCAACAACTGTTTGCTTAAATCTCCATATAATTAAAACAGCATTATAAAATCTTTTCGAAGAAAACAACAAAAACAGGACTTGTCATAAAAACATGCCACTCCCACATGCTCGTCATCTGATCAACTAACCCAAGAACTTGGCAAGAAAACAGAGGGGAAATTTCTGGACTGTGTCAGGATTTGGTTGACTAATGATTTCAAAATGCATTAATCTAATGATCATCATCATAATTTCCCTTTACTTTTTACAGAGCATTTCGAGTTGATTGGTGGGTTTCGTAATCACGATTTGGATTGCCATAGATAGTGAAAGTAAGAAACATAGTTTGTGGGTAGCTAGCTAGATTAAGATTAGATTAGATATCTCCAAATGTGTGGTACAACTGAGGTACCGTGTATCGAATTTGCAGTCCAGTAATGGTAAATGCTTTCAAAGACTATCATCCTAAACATCCTCCACTAAGGGAATGTCATTTTCAGATACCCGAGTGACCCAAAAATCAA